ATAGTGGAAAAAGGATCTTCTGTAAGCCTCAGGACACATTTAGAGCTTTCAAAACCTTTAATAACCACCTTAACCTCGCCTTACCCTTCTGATTGTAATGAATTTTTTACCAAAATTTAGTAGACATGAAAACTCTCAGTTTGTCTCATCCCTATCTACAGGGCCTACGTTCTCCATCCTCTCTGAAGAAGGACCTTCCAATACTGCAGAAACATACAAGCAAACCTTGGATTAAAAAAAAATGTGCCTTTAATGGTTATTGACCTGAAAATCGCCCACAAATGTCCATACGGTGACAGCAATACTAACCATACATAACATAACATAGCATATTGACTGTACATAGCATATCACATCCATTGATCGGATCCCGTACGATCCATCACCCCTCCGTCTGCTCTGTCGTTCTCCGGGTGCCATTCTGACAACAATGGCAGTTGTGTGTAGTCAGCATATGTCCCATTATGGCATCAGAAGATGTGAAGTCACCAGAACTCCACATACGCCATTCACGCATCTATTATAAACAGAAGTCGGAGATGGTCAATGTTTTCGGGTGTCGCATGTTCCCTTTCTCAAGGTGACATAGTGATAACATGCACAGATTCCATACAGACCCCTATATTCCAGTGTAACCCATAGCACACCCAACGTTTCTTGGGGTGGATGTGGGATGAGGGTATAGGAAGGTGGTGCTAGCCACTGTGCCACTAGGTGTGGCCAGAATAGTGTCTGGTACAGCAGGTAGTGTCACCAGGTGCCCCTTTTAGTCATAGCCCTCCTACAGTGATTTCAAGGGTGATGCAGCACCCACCAAGTCAGGTAGGGAGGGGGGTACAGACATACTTGGGGCATGGGAGCTAAACACCCCGCATCTATATGGATGTAACCAGCACACATAGGCCCTGGAGAGGGCAGGAGGCTGGGAGGAGTGGACCTGTACACCGGAGGGGACGGCTGTAGTCTCTCTGTCCACTCATGGGGGCGAGGGTGGGGGCAGATTGCAAAAGGCCTTTTAGGTCAGGCTGTGGGATCCCTGTGTGAGGCTGCTTTCCTGGGGGGTTCCGGGGAGAGGTGTACCTATGGAGCAGGTGACTACAGAGAGCTCAGACTTGTGAGGAGAGACTGCAGGGAGATGGCTGCTGAGGTGCTGCACATGCTTTCACTTGTGACTGCTGCGGACCTTCCACTAAATGTAATTGACTGTGCAATATCAAGTGACACCAAAATGTTTAACCCCTTCACGCCGGTGCCTCCGGCCCTTTAAGAGTTTCAGAACTCGGGAGGTGGGGTGAGGTTTAGGGTCATGTGACCGCCGTGACGTGCCGTCACGGCGATCACATGATTAGGAAAGGTCTCAATCGAAAGAGGAGATCGGGACCATTCCGTGAGTACTGGACATGTGTGCTGGGAGCGCGCAGGGAGCGCTCTTGACACATATGCCCTTTTTTAATAGAACGCAAATGTACGGCCGCTCGGTGTCTAGGCCCAGATGCCGGGAGGCCACATTTACGCGCAGCCGACATGAAGAGGTTAACCTTGTGATGTGACTGTTTTGGCATTCTCTGAATACCACCAGTAAAGTACAGCAAAACTACTTTTGTGTATGGGGCATTCCTTCCTTGGGGGGATATAAAGGTCTATGGATGGGAATGTTGTGCAGAGGCCGATGACAAAGAGCAGGACACAAGATGGCGGAGGGTTGGACCTCAGCAGGAGGGACAGTGTTCTAACAGGGCTGGAACAGGGGTATGAACTTGTCCTTTTGACGCCAAATTCAGTCAACCAAAAAGCTCCTCTTACAAGGGTGTTCCTCCATCGAGGTTCTCATATATTCATATTTCATTTATTTATGGTTCGTATTTCAAACTTTATGGTTTTCGTTGGGATTATAAAAACATTGGAGGGTTGGCCACTTGGCTGGCGATGGGTCACACCTCGGTGTCCTGTATATGTCTGTATGAGATTTGTACAAATTATTACTATGTTGCATTGAGGAAGGGACCCTACGAGGCCTAAAACATCGACAGTCTCTTTTTAGGCTGGTTTAATTTACTTTTTTACTTTTTTTTTTCTACATTTTTACAGTCTAAATCTTTCCTCTGTGGGGTTTAAAATAAAAAGCCTAACTAGGAGCCATTTTATGGCAGAAGGATGGCTCCAAGATAGTTAAAAGGAGCTTCTGTAACCCCCGGGAGATATTTACAGCCCTGACTTATGACATTGCCATAATAAATGGGTGAAATGTATATTTGGAGTGCTGCTGACTCTACATCTTCTGCGAGGGTATCTGTCTGACACCATCCATCATGGTCCCTACAAGCACTCTGCAGGCGCCTTTGTGTTTCATTACAGCTTCGTAATTGGTTCTGGGGAGCAACCTAGCATAGGTCCTTCATTCAAACCCAAAACAGTTCCAAGCTGACCAGTGACAATTAGTGTGAGGATGTGAGATCAATAATAGGGCCAAATTTGTTCTGAATATCCAACTGTGAACTCTTCTGTATATATGTTGATTATATCAATAACATACTGATATGGATCAATACATAAAAGTCCACGTAAATATTGTTGGGATGGACGACTAAGAAGTAACAGAAAGACTGAAATACTTCCCTTTCCTGGGGAAAATGCTGCTCCAAGGTTCTTGTAGTGTTGACCCAACAACCGAAAAAAGCCTAGGCAGTTGGACAAGTTATCTCTGCAGAATGAGTGGATCCGGTAATCTTGATTCTAAACCTCTTCAGAAGAGATCACGTGGGCAAATACCTAGGCTCCTGTTTTGCAACAGGAAGCAGCATTTACTCCAGGAAGGATACACTAAACATCTGCAGACACCTGACCACCACACCCATGGGATCTTGCTGGACATCCCATTCCCAAACCATGGACATTATTAAGGAGTTGCATCCAACCCCATCGGCTTTGTGGCCAAAAGAGGTTCCACTCTCAGTTTCAACAAGAGTGCACAACATAGGCAGTCAACTCTAAACAGGAACAAACAGGAATGAACATCGTATTACCTTGCGGTGTATATGAAGCAGAAGAAATGACATTAAAAAATTGCCTAGGGATGAAAAATAAAAATGTTCAAATGCCCTTAACTAAAATTGAGACCCAGGTGAAAGCAGATCACACTGCTTTTTTTGGCTGACTGTCTGCAGAACAATATTCCTCATTGCTCTCATTTTCACAAGATAACGGATTATACGCTGGTTTTGGAGGTGTCTCGAAGGTGAACCCATTGGGTGTTGAGCTTGAGGTTGGACCAAGAGATGCCACTCATGGCTAACATACCAAAGTTTTTATATGGGGTGCCAAGTAAAGAGGACTCTAGATGATTAGATTTTACGGTATAGCAATCAAAATGTTATACTCAAATACTGTTTATTCTCTACATATTACTCAAAGTCTTGAAGACCCTCTGATAGGACTTGTCCTCGGTGTCCTGTCTTATGTTATATCCTGTTAAGTTTTCTTTATTGTCATCTACATTACCAAGAGATGCCATATTCTGTGACATGTTGAAAAAACCCATTGGGCATTGAGCTTGTGGAAGCTACGGTAGATAGATCATTAAGGATAGAATCCGTTGATTCAGAAATGTGTAAGATGTTGGTCATTGAGACTGCAGTCTTGTTTTTACAAGATAACGAATTATACGCTCGTTTTGGAGGTTGTCTCGAAGGTGAACCCATTGGGCGTTGAGCTTGAGGTCGGGCCAAGAGACGCCACGCTTGCCGTATTCTGCGACACGTTGAATAACCCATTGGGAATTGAGCTTGTGGAAGCTCCTGTAGATAGATCATTCAGGATAGAATCCGTTGATTCAGAAATGTCTAAGATCTTGGTCATTGAGACTGCAGTCTTGTTTTCACAAGATAACAAATTATATGCTGGTTTTGGAGGTGTCTCGAAGGTGAACCCATTGGGTGTTGAGCTTGAGATTGAGCCAAGAGACACCACGCTTGCCGTATTCTGCGACACGTTGAATAACCCATTGGGCATTGAGCTTGTGGAAGCTACTGTAGATAGATCATTCAGGATAGAATCTGTTGATTCAGAAATGTGTAAGATGTTGATAATTGAGCCTTCAGTCTTGTTTTCACAAGATAACGAATTATACACTGGTTTTGGAGGTATCTCGAAGGTGAACCCATTGGGCGTTGAGCTTGAGGTCGGGCCAAGAGATGCCACTCATGGCTAACATACCAAAGTTTTTCTACGGGGTGCCAAGTAAGGAGGACTCTAGATGATTCGATTTTACGGTATAGCAATCAAAATGTTATACTCAAATACTGTTTATTCTCTACATATTACTCAAAGTCTTGAAGACCCTCTGATAGGACTTGTCCTTGGTGTCCTGTCTTATGTTATATCCTGTTAGGTTTTCTTTATTGTCATCTACATTACCAAGAGATGCCACACTTGCCATATTCTGTGACACGTTGAAAAACCCATTGGGCATTGAGCTTGTGGAAGCTCCTGTAGATAAATCATTAAGGATAGAATCTGTTGATTCAGAAATGTCTAAGATCTTGGTCATTGAGCCTGGAGTCTTGTTTTCACAAGATAACGAATTATACGCTGGTTTTGGAGGTGTCTCGAAGGTGAACCCATTGGGTGTTGAGCTTGAGGTCGGGCTAAGAGACGCCACGCTTGCCGTATTCTGCGACACGTTGAATAACCCATTGGGCATTGAGCTTGTGGAAGCTACTGTAGATAGATCATTCAGGATAGAATCCGTTGATTCAGAAATGTGTAAGATGTTGGTCATTGAGCCTTCAGTCTTGTTTTCACAAGATAACGAATTATACGCTGGTTTTGGAGGTGTCTCGAAGGTGAACCCATTGGGCGTTGAGCTTGAGGTTGGACCAAGAGATGACCTTCATGGCTAACATACCAAAGTTTTTCTATGGGGTGCCAAGTAAAGAGGACTCTAGATGATTAGATTTTACGGTATAGCAATCAAAATATTATACTCAAATACTGTTTATTCTCTACATATTACTCAAAGTCTTGAAGACCCTCTGATAGGACTTGTCCTCGGTGTCCTGTCTTATGTTATATCCTGTTAAGTTTTCTTTATTGTCATCTAAATTACCAAGAGATGCCATATTCTGTGACACATTGAAAAACCCATTGGGCATTGAGCTTGTGGAAGCTACTGTAGATAGATCATTCAGGATAGAATCCGTTGATTCAGAAATGTGTAAGATGTTGGTCATTGAGCCTTCAGTCTTGTTTTCACAAGATAACGAATTATACGCTGGTTTTGGAGGTGTCTCGAAGGTGAACCCATTGGGCGTTGAGCTTGAGGTTGGGCCAAGAGACGCCACGCTTGCCAAATTCTGCGACACATTGAATAACCCATTGGCCATTGAGCCGGTGGAGGCTACTTTAGGTAAATCTTTAAGTATAGAATCCGCCGTTTCAGACATGTGTAAGATGTTGATCATTGAGCTTGCAGTCTTGTTTTCACTGGATAACACATTCTGTGCTGGTGTTGGACGTGTCTTGAAGATGAGCCCATTGGGCGGTGAGCTTGTGGTTGGACTAGCAGGCATGGCATTTATGTCAAGCTGTTTGGCACTGCAAAATGGGGCATAGTACTCAGTAACGTCCTCAAACCGCTCACAGTCTACCTTGTAATATTTCTTCTTCGTCTGCAGGATATTGTTAAACCTGAAACCCCAGAGGATTTCCACTGGCAGGTAGGATGTTCGAGACTGGTGGGATGTTCCAGTGGAGTCACCCGTGTATATGAAAGTCACTAAGATCTCAAACCTATCTGCAGCCAAGGCTTTACGATCTAGAGCATACAGAGGACTGTCTTGGTCAATCACATGGACTACGGTGACTGGTGTAACCAATATTATTTGCTCATTCACCAGTTTTAGATCTTTGTATTCCATGGTGATCCCCATCTCATGAACTTGATGATAACGCAGAAGCTGAGCTCGCACGTTTCCTTCAACCACATGGTTCGATCGAAAGTCGCCAATACGCCACATGAGGCACAGTCTGCCGTCCCGTATCCCTACAAGGGCACAGTAACTAAAACGTATAGTCTGTGCTCTTTTCCGGGCAGTGGCCATCTTGGCCATCGCTGCCCCAATAATAAAAGTGTCAATGATGCAGCTTAATACTGACTGGATGGTTACCAATATAATCGCCACAGGGCACTCCTCTGTTACACAGCGGCTTCCATAACCGATGGTTGTTTGTGTCTCCAAGGAAAATAAAAATGCCCCCGCGAATGTGCGCACATTGTCAACGCAGGGAGCTATGTCCATGTTACTCAGATCTCCATGCTGAAGAGCTATGATCCAAAAGATAAAGCCAAACAACAGCCAGGACAGAATGTACGACAAGGTGAAGATGACAAGCATGTGACGCCACTTCATATCGACCAGAGTGGTAAAGATGTCAACCACGTAGCTTTCCCACTCCCCAAGGATGCTCTTGAAGTAGACGTTGCAGCTACCATCCTTCTGCACAAAGCGGGTCTGGAAGGACCGTTTCCATACGCTGTGTTGTTGCCAGGTGTTCTCTTTAAAGGTTGCCCGCAGGTATCAATGTTTTGGCTCATCTTGACGTCGAAGGTCAAAATTCCGCCAAAATCAATCTCTATTCATTTAATACCTATAAAGAAGAGAGATGCATTGTTATTATTTAACAGTAGTAGGCAGAAATGGGTGTATATCATGTTGACCAAGTCCTAAATCCCTACATGTTGACCTTATAAAAGAACCTTGATGACTGGGAGCCTGGACTTCCAATGACCCTCTTCTATGTGAGTAATCAACCATCAGGATCACCGATAGCAGGCAAAGGCCTTGGATCAATACTATGGGTAATGGATATTTAGCAGATTGCAATGGAATTGTACAGTTCAACTACAGCTACCTCTATTAAAATCCATTTTTTTATATTTACAATTTATTTTTTTATATATTTTTTTGTTATATATACTGTATATATATTCTTTATACATTTAATGTTTTTTTTTAAATATTTGCATAAATTTTATTCATTCACACACATATACAGTATATATATATATATATATATATATATACACATATTAAATAGAGAAAAAATAATAAAATACATACATTTAAAAAAACCTAAAGAACATATAAATATATACTGTATATATATCATCAATATACATTTTATATCATATTATTTTTAATATTCATATAAATTTCATTCATTTACATATACATATATATATACATACATACATACACACACATACAATTTCTATAACTATCAAATACAAAAACTATATAAATGTATATATATATATATATATATATATATATATATATATATATATATATATATATATATATATACATATATATATATATATATACACACACATATACTCACACACATACATACATACACACACACACACATACATACACATGTATGTATGTATGTATGTATGTACGTACGTACATGTGTGTGTGTGTTATATATATATATATATATATATATATATATTTCTTTAGGTTTTTCTTTTTTTAAAGTATGTATTTTATTCATTTTTTCTCTATTTAAAATGTATATATATATATATATATATATATATATATATACACACATACACACACACACACACACACACACACACACACACACACACACACACACATATATATATATACACACACACACACATTTTAAATAGAGAAAAAATGAATAAAATGCATACTTTAAAAAAAGAAAAACCTAAAGAAAGAAAGAAATATATATATATATACACACACACACACACACACACACTGATTTATGTTTTTAAAATAAATATTTATACATTCTATAATTTTTTTATATCTATAATTTTTATTTATATACACATGTTTATGTGTATAATTTTAATATATATATATATATATATATATATATATATATATATATATATATATATATATATATATAAATAATTTTTGCAGTGGCAACCACTGGATTGTATATATGACATTTTTATTTGTTTTCTTACATTTTTAGATATTTATATATTTTATTAATTTTTTTAGATTTAAAATGTGTATTTTGACAAGAAAATGGAAAAAAATATTGCATATTAAGCTAGCAGGTAATTCTTTTTTTTCTCCTCACATGGTATCCATAGCCTCCTGTACAAAATTATTGTGATGAGGTTTACAGACCTCAATAGCTCAAGCTGAATTTTTTACACACACACGAATGGATCATAACAATGACTCCTTTTTTTTGGACAGCTTCCTATGAAGTTTCGATCAGACAGAGCTTGCCTTGACATTAGCAGCGTTTTCTCTGGTCTCTCTTTCGATAACCCGCACTTCCCAATCATGTATTAAATGTTAAACTGGCAGCACAGTGGCTAAATGGTTAGCACTTCCACCTGGCAGTACTCGGGTCGTCGGTTCAAATCCCAACCACAGCACCACCTGCCTGGAGTTTGCATGTTCTCCCTGTGCCTGCGTGGGTTTCCTCCAGGTACTCTGGTTTCCTCCTACACTCCAAAGACATGCTGGTAGGTGACTTGGCTCCTGTCTAAATTGTCTCTAGTATGTGTATGTATGAATGTGAGTTAGGGGCCATCGATTGACCGCTCCTCAGGGCGGGGACTGATGGGAATGTACAATATATATGTAAAGCACGGTGTAAATTGACAGCGATATATAAGTACCTGAAATAAATAAATTGTAATTAAATATTACACCTATAATGGAAACAAATACAAATAAAGGATTTAAACTTTTTAAGAATGAATTAAATTGTTACAAAACCACAACCATTTTCTGGGGTTAAAGAAGTGTGAATGTGCTGCTGGAGGCGATCGGTGGGCGGTACACATTGGAGAGCAGGGGCGGACTGACCATTGGAAACTCAGGCACTGCCCGAGGGCCCGGGGTCAATAGGGGGCCCCATGAGATGCCCCTGGTACCTTTTTCATAGGCTTTTTTGAGTTTGGGCAAGGACACAGGGGCCCCATGATCCCCTATTGCCCGGGGGCCCCATGAGTTGTCAGTCTGCCCCTGTCGGAGGGATTAGCGCGGCGTTGCTCCGACGGTCTTTTCACGTAAAGGACTGAAGTAGTCCATTCATATATTTATTTTCCCGCGAAGCGCTTACAACCGACACGCAGAAAACAAATCCGGAAAGACGGGGGGGGGGGGGGGGGGGGGGGGATGTGAAATGGAAAACATGTTGGTCCCTCTAATTGTTTTCATGTTGACTGGTTGAAGCGAAGTTTATTTAGAAAGAACCGCAAACATCGGGGAATAAATCGGCTTAAATCACACGCTACTGGTTGGCTGCTGCCGATTACCGAGAGGGGAGGGGCTTCTGTGTTTTGCGGCAGCCTTAAAGGGGAACTCCACACTATTTGGGTGCAGATTCTTACTTGCAATTCCTTTTCTTTTCATAAATTGATTTTTATTCGCTTGCAATGTTCTTCTGAATGTGCTAGAAAATGGGATTACTCCAGCAAGAGTCAGTTCTATAGCCCCGCCCCCTCATTCCATACATCATAGCCCTCCCCTCTGGAATTATTTAATCGCTGTCTTGGCTGGCCCAGCTCCTCCACCCCTTCCCTCCCTATATAACCTTTAATGTAGCTGCCAGGAGAAGAGCAAAGGGGAAGCTGCCGGCCCTCTGAATGCAGTCAGTGAGCTATGTCATTGCCATTCACTACCAATGCAGAGGGGTGGGGTGATAACATTTCACTGGTAGTGACCCTCAATGTGGTGGGGGGGTACTAGTATGGACACAAGTGCTGGACGTCCTCCAGCCAGGAAATGAGGCGGAGCTCTATCTGACTGGCTGCAGCTTTAAGGCAGATTGTGAGAAGCTCCCAGTGTGCAAAGATATCAGAGGAAGAAGCTTCAGTCCAGGGGAGGAGCCGGTACACCTGTGCAAGGCTGAAGGGGAGGAGCCGGTACACCTGTGCAAGACTGAAGGGGAGGAGCCGGTACACCTGTGCAAGACTGAAGGGGAGGAGCAGGTACACCTGTGCAAGACTGAAGGGGAGGAGCCGGTACACCTCTGCGAGACTGAAGGGGAGGAACCGCTACACCTGTGCGAGACTGAAGGGGAGGAGCCGCTACACCTGTGCGAGACAGAAGGGGAGGAGCCGGTACACCTGTGCAAGACTGAAGGGGAGGAGCCGGTACACCTGTGCGAGACTGAAGAGGAGGAGCCGGTATACCTCTGCGAGACTGAATGGGAGGAGCCGCTACATCTGTGCGAGACTGAAGGGGAGGAGCCAGTACACCTGTGCAAGACTGAAGGGGAGGAGCCGGTACACCTGTGCAAGACTGAAGGGGAGGAGCCGGTACACCTGTGCAAGACTGAAGAGGAGGAGCAGGTACACCTGTGCGAGACTGAAGGGGAGGAGCCGGTACACCTGTGCGAGACTGAAGGGGAGGAACCGCTACACCTGTGCAAGACTGAAGGGGAGGAGCCGGTACACCTGTGCAAGACTGAAGGGGAGGAGCCGGTACACCTGTGCAAGACTGAAGGGGAGGAGCAGGTACACCTGTGCGAGACTGAAGGGGAGGAGCAGGTACACCTGTGCGAGACTGAAGGGGAGGAACCGCTACACCTGTGCGAGACTGAAGGGGAGGAGCCGCTACACCTGTGCGAGACAGAAGGGGAGGAGCCAGTACAACTGTGCAAGACTGAAGGGGAGGAGCCGATACACCTGTGCGAGACTGAAGGGGAGGAGTCGGTATACCTCTGCGAGACTGAAGGGGAGGAGCCGCTACACCTGTGCTAGACTGAAGAGGAGGAGCCGGTACACCTGTGCGAGACTGAAGAGGAGGAGCCGGTACACCTGTGCGAGACTGAAGGGGAGGAGCCGGTACACCTGTGCAAGACTGAAGGGGAGGAGATGGTACACCTGTGCAAGACAGAAGGGGAGGAGCCGATACACCTGTGCAAGACTGAAGGGGAGGAGCCGGTATACCTCTGCGAGACTGAAGGGGAGGAGCCGCTACAGCTGTGCGAGACTGAAGGGGAGGAGCCAGTACACCTGTGCGAGACTGAAGGGGAGGAGCCAGTACACCTGTGCGAGACTGAAGGGGAGGAGCCGGTACACCTGTGCGAGACTGAAGGGGAGGAGCTGGTACACCTGTGCAAGACTGAAGAGGAGGAGCCGGTACACGTGTGCGAGACTGAAGGGGAGGAGCCGGTACACCTGTGCGAGACTGAAGGGGAGGAGCCGGTACACCTGTGCAAGACTGAAGGGGAGGAGATGGTACACCTGTGCAAGACAGAAGGGGAGGAGCCGATACACCTGTGCAAGACTGAAGGGGAGGAGCCCGTACACCTGTGCAAGACTAAAGGGGAGGAGATGGTACACCTGTTCAAGAATGAAGGGGAGGGGCCAGAACCCCTGTGCAAGACTGAAGGGGAGGAGCTGGTACACCTGTGCGAGACTGAAGGGGAGGAGCCGTTACACCTGTGCAAGACTGAAGGGGAGGAGCCGGTACACCTGTGCAAGACTGAAGGGGAGGAGCCGGTACACCTCTGCGAGACTGAAGGGGAGGAGCCGCTACACCTGTGCAAGACTGAAGGGGAGGAGTCGCTACACCTGTGCAAGACTGAAGGGGAGGAGCCGGTACACCTGTGCAAGACTGAAGGGGAGGAGCCGGTACACCTCTGCGAGACTGAAGGGGAGGAGCCGGTACACCTCTGCGAGACTGAAGGGGAGGGGCCGTTACACCTGTGCAAGACTGAAGGGGAGGAGCCGCTACACCTGTGCAAGACTGAAGGGGAGGAGTCGCTACACCTGTGCAAGACTGACGGGGGCGCCGGAGGGAGGATTTGAAATGCAGCCAATTTCCTGCACAGAAGTTCTCCTGCTGACACAGGGGGGCGGAGATGAAGAATGAACAGGGAACATTTCTCTCAATGACATCACTGCGAATCTGCAGCTGTACGGCTCAGCCGGGGGGGGGGGGGGGGGGGTGACACCCAATATAGTAACCAATTATCCCTCCATACAGACAGCAATGTTGTCACCAGGAGATGCTGAGAGACGTTTTCTGGGTGAATTCGGGGAGCGCAGCAGCTGGATTATCATTTCTCTTTGTAATTCTTTATGTCGGATTTCAAAAGAATTTGAATATTAAAGAAGTTCACATTCTGTGCGCAGCTCTATGAAGGAAGACACCCCCCCCCCCCCCGATCGGCAGCCACCTACATAAATACTTACCTTCGGCTCTTTAGTCCTCCCAGGTATTTATTTCCTGTCCCAGAGATCACAGGACTCCCCCTGACAACTCCGCCATCTGATCGTCTCTCCAGAAGGACAGCACCATCCCTGTTCAGGCATCATCCAGGGTCACCATCTACTTCCAGGACTGAGATGTTGGTTCAGAGATGACACAATCATGTGAATCCTGGTGCCTGTGCAGTTCTTAGCTGTGTTCACAAATGTCTGACACAGATTAGCCCCTGACGGACACAGCCTCTCACCTTGTGACTTGCTAAAAAGATATAATGTACAGCCTGATCACTGGGGGAGGGGAGACTGAGGAAATGACTCCTCCTATTTCTACAAAGTTACAATGTACAGCCTGATCACTGGGGGAGGGGAGACTGAGGAAATGCCTCCTCCTCCTTCTACAAAGTTACAATGTACAGTCTGATAACTGGGGGAGGGGAGACTGAGGAAATGCCTCCTCCTCCTTCTACAAAGTTACAATGTACAGTCCGATCACTGGGGGAGGGGAGACTGAGGAAATGCCTCCTCCTCCTTCTACAAAGTTACAATGTACAGTCTGGTCCCTGGGGGAGGGGAGACTGAGGTGCATTCATTGGCAGCTGCACATGGATAAGTCCCATCCGGCGGGTGCAGCGAGTGGCGGATTGCGGGAAGGTCGGCCCTCCCAGACACGACAATAACATCAGATGAATTCCGAACCTCAATAAAGTGAAATATGACAACAGAAGAATTTCCGTTTCTGAGACATAAATCGCACGCCGCGGCCGCCTTTTCGCACAAACTCTGAAGTCACGCAGCCGGATAATCGTAGAGGAACAAACGCCGCGACATTTCATTCTGCAAAGTGAAAGCAGACGCCGATCAGAAAACAAAATCGCAGAGGAACCGCCCAAGCTTGACGCTTTAATAACCAACAGAAATATCTCGCCAAATATTCGGCTCTTTTTTTTTTTTTACGCCAGATCTGCAGAGATTCCGCTGACTTTGCATTGAATGGCGGGAATTTCAAATCACAGGAAAATGGGTAGAATGAATGTACCTGCTGAAGGGTTTGTATTTCTGTCCATCCAGTCATGAGATCCACACAGCTCTGCCACACAGCACAGCCCCATGTGGCTGGGGAGGGAACTTGATTGTGTTCTGCTACAGTTTCACTTTCACTTACAGGTCTGCTTCCTTACAAGTACACACTATAGAGGGATTTGCTTTGTTCCTATTTCATGATACAGTAGTCTGAACTCTCCACTATCTTTAAGAACCTAAGTCCTCAGCATTTGACAACCCTTCTGGGACTTCCCACCCATCTTCAAGAACCTACATCCTCCGCATTTGACACCCTCCTCGGATTTCCCACCCATCTTCAAGAACCTTCAAGAACCTAAGTTCTCAGCATTTGACACCCTTCTGGGACTTCCCACCCATCTTCAAGAACCTACATCCTCCGCATTTGACACCCTCCTGGGATTTCCCACCCATCTTCAAGAACCTAAGTCCTCAGCATTTGGCACCCTCCTGGGATTTCCCACCCATCTTCAAGAACCTTCAAGAACCTACATCCTCCGCATTTGACACCCTCCTGGGATTTCCCACCCATCTTCAAGAACCTAAGTCCTCAGCATTTGGCACCCTCCTGGGATTTCCCACCCATCTTCAAGAACCTTCAAGAACCTACATCCTCCGCATTTGACACCCTCCTGGGATTTCCCACCCATCTTCAAGAACCTACATCCTCCGCATTTGACACCCTCCTGGGATTTCCCACCCATCTTCAAGAACCTACATCCTCCGCATTTGACACCCTCCTGGGATTTCCCACCCATCTTCAAGAACCTACATCCTCCGCATTTGACACCCTCCTGGGATTTCCCACCCATCTTCAAGAACCTAAGTCCTCAACATTTGGCACCCTCCTGGGATTTCCCACCCATCTTCAAGAACCTACATCCCTCCGCATTTGACACCCTCCTGGGATTTCCCACCCATCTTCAAGAACCTACATCCTCCGCATTTGACACCCTCCTGGGATTTCCCACCCATCTTCAAGAACCTAAGTCCTCAACATTTGGCACCCTCCTGGGATTTCCCACCCATCTCCAAGAACCTACATCCTCTGCATTTGACACCCTCCTGGGATTTCCCACCCATCTTCAAGAACCTTCAAGAACCCAAATCTTCAGCATTTGACACCCTCCTGGGACTTCCCACCCATCTTCAAGAACCACCCATCTTCAAGAACCTAAGTCTTCAGCATTTGACACCCTCCTGGGACTTCCCACCCATCCTGGGACTCCCCCTCCCCTACCCACTGCACATCATGTCTTTCCCCACCAGCCTCTAAGACACAACAGTGATGCTGGGTCAGGCGGGCGCGAGGATCCATTTCGTGCAGCAGGGGGCACTCCTGGAGGTATCAAACATGAAAGACCCTGTTGGAGGACTTGAGGGTGCTTGAAGACGGGAGGGACAAACATTCACAGTCTTCTACTGCAGGCTGAAGTTCTTTTTCTTTTTTTTCGACGGTTCCTCATCCACGGTGAGGGAAGGCCAGCAAGTACAAATGTGAAAGTCGTTATTATTACCTTCAGGTAAACGCTACCGAATGACCCGACACGATTCACTCCCACTATAAATACTCCGCCTTTCCCTTTTGGGCCATCAACACGAAGCAAACAGGAGCCCTGAAAGCAGCGGTTGTCTGTAGACCCCAAACAGAACGTTCTTCCAATATCCACCAAGAAGCCTTTCAAGTCCATTGTGTATTCCGCGGCGGGACGAGCCGTTCCTGACTAATTATATTTTTACAAGCATGTGTATTTTTTTTTTTAGCCAGCAATGGGTTAGAACAAAGAGAAAACTTTACACAGTCCAGGAAAGTTTGCCAATCAAACCCCTCGCTACTGTATAATCAGAGACTCACAGACTGCGGGGCAAGGTATCGGATCGGGAAATGTTTGGACAAGAAATCGCAGAGCATTCCAAAGGTCTCTTGGATCTCCTCGCCTTAGGCTAGTCTTTTCCTAATCATCCATCACAGGACACAGGATTAGTCTTGGGTGATTGGGTTATACGGCCACCATCAGGCTATTTGGATGCTGGCAACCAAAGTTGTAAAGACAGCAATGTATAACTCCTCCCACTAGTTGGTTGCTAGTGTCCTTGGGTGATGGACATCTTCTGCCTTCTTTGAGGCCATGAGATTCGAAAGATTGCCACCTATGCAGACCCCTGCAGCAAGGATGGGATTATAACGGGGGGGGTTCCACAACTTTCACATCCCTCATCCTAAATCTTGGACAATCAACATCTACACCTTCCATGGTGTTTTGATGAAGGTCATCTAAGGGGTGGCTAAAAAAAGTTGGTGTATCTTCATGACACTCATTAGAACTGAGGAAAGAGCTTGGAGAAGCTATCAAACATATTCAACTTTACACAACAAATCCTTCTGAATAGCTATTTGGATGCTGGCAACCAAAGTTGTAAAGACAGCAATGTATAACTCCTCCCACTGGTTGGTTGCTAGTGTCCTTGGGTGCCTTGGGTGATGGACATCTTCTACCTTCTTTGGGGCCATGAGAATCGAAAGATTGCCACCTATGCAGACCCCTGCAGCAAGGATGGGATTATGAAAAAAAGAACAGGGGGGGTTCCAGAACTTTCACATCCCTCATCCCAAATCTTGGACAATCAACATCTACACCTTCCATGGTGTTTGGATGAAGGTGCCCTTAGGGGTGGTTAAAAAAGATGGTGTATCTTCATGACACTCATTAGAACTGAGGAAAAAGAGCTTGGAGAAGCTATGAAATATCTTCAACTTTGCAGAACAAATCCTTCTGAATAGCTATTTGGATGCTGGCAACCAAAGTTGAAAGGGGCAGCGCAGTATAACTCCTCCCACTAGTTTGTTGCTAGTGTCCTTGGGTGATGGACATCTTCTGCCTTCTTTGAGGCCATGAGATTCGAAGGATTGCCACCTATGCAGACCCCTGCACCAAGGATGGGATTATGAAATAGGAATGGGGAGGGGGGTGTTCCACAACTTTCACATCCCTCATCCTAAATCTTGGACAATCAACATCTACACCTTCCATGGTGTTTTGATGAAGGTCATCTAAGGGTTGGCTAAAAATGTTGGTGTATCTTCATGACACTCATTAGAACTGAGGAAAAAGAGCTTGGAGAAGCTATGAAACATCTTCAACTTTACAGATGCAATCCTTCTGAATAGCTATTTGGATGCTGGCAACCAAAGTTGTAAGGACAGCCCAGCACAACTCCTCCCACTCTCACTTTGTGTCCTTGGGTGATGGTTTTCTGTATGTGACTCAAAGGAAGGACACCTATCCAGCACCAAGGATGGGATAGAATAGCAAGAACAGGGGGGTTCCACAACTTTCACACCTCCCACCCTGTTCTTCATCATGGTCAGGGGTTAGGCTCAGAGACCAGCTAGATAAGTACACAAGCAGGTCACCTTGCTGATGATACGGGCTCACCCGAGGTCTAAGCACTAAC